GCCAGCAATCCTTGGTGTTCTTTGGTTTATAGATGCGTCACTCCAAACTCTGCCTCTGTCTTCACGCGGCGTTCTTTCTTGTGTCTGTCTATATGCAAATTTCCCTCTTCTTATAAGGACACCAGCCAATGGATGAGTGCCCACCCTAATTCAAGATGACCTCATCTTAACTTGATTGTGTGTACAAAGACCCTGTTTCCAAATAAGGCCACATTCACAGGTACCTGTGGTTACAACTTGGACTTATCTTTTTAGGGGACATAATTCAACCCAGTGATAAATTATAGGAAGGAAATGAAAAAGACGCTATTACTTTAAAAGAAAGGGACATCTGCTTAGATGATCAGGAAAGGCTTCCCTGAGGGACTAACACTCCAGCAGAGTCCCAAAAGGTCAGGACCAGGCTCATAGAAGTCCCCACAGAAGAAGGCGGAAGTACAAATGCCAGGGGGCTGGATGGAGGTGGCAACTAAAAGAAAGCCAGTGAGCCTGCAACAAAGTCCAGCAAAGAGAGGTGGGCAGGCAGGGACCGGTTCACTGGGGGACTTGGAGTCCAAGAAATGGAGTTTGGATTCCTCCTGTGTGCAATGGGAAGAAAGCCATGGATAGATTTTAAGCAAATAGTGACACGGTCTGATTTGTGTTTTTAAAAGCTCACTCTGCCTGTGTTGTGAGAACCGACTGCAGTGGGGAAAGAGGGGAAGCTGCAGACAGTTAAGAGGGGATTTCTGGGGGCTGGGCCCGTGACCGAGTGGGTAAAGCTCAGTGTGCTCTGCTTCAGCAGCCTGGGCTCGCAGATCTTGGATGTGGACCTACTCCACTCATCAGCCATGCTGTGGAGGCACCCCACATATGAAGTAGAGGAGGATTGGCACAGATGTTAGCTCAGGGCTATCAGATGAAGGGTGAGGTCACAGACTCACTGAAGGGACTGGGGTTGGGGTGCGGGGTGGGGTCTCAGTGCAAAATGATGACTGAGCCTTGACACGTCAAAACTCACATGTGGAAATCTCCCTGTCATGTGCTTTTATTTAATGGGGCTGAGTGGTGTAGGGAAGGAAAAATAATTTTCTCTCCACCTTCTAGGTTCTTGGCTGAGACCTCCTGTAATAAAAGACAGATTAACTGGAGAAAAACAAATTTAATTATGCACATATGCAGGTATGGGAGCCCCACAAAGATGTGTGACTCCAAGACGCGCCCAGAGCAGGAAGCTTTGATACCTTTTAGACAAGTAAACAATAAATTTGTGAAGAAATAATGTGGCAGAGGGGTGTGGGCTAGGGGTAGTAAATGGTGAAAAATTAACAAGGTTTGTTTGTGCAGCCGTCTTGGCCCTGAGTTCCCCGTCTCTGGTGATGAAGATGCCTTTTATCCTCCTGGTACAGGGAGAGTCCCTCTCACATGGGCGGTTTATCTCCTGCTTTCAGGGGGACAAAGGAATGTCTTTCTTCCACTGGCTGCTTCTCGGGTAATTTTAACTCAAAATAATCAATATGCCAAAGTGGCATGTTTGGGATGACATAGTCTGAATGCCTACAGTGGGAACAATGAAATCCTGTCCCTGGTCATTATCTAACACAACACTCAGCAGGGCAAATCCCTTTCTTTCCCATTGGCATTCGGTAGTTCCCCTGGGGCTCAGAGTCCTGGTGATGCGGCCAGAGCAGGCCCCAGCCCAGCATCCCCACTTGGGCAAAGTACTTGACTTTGCATGGATGCCCAGGGCTGTCCATTCAGCATGATGTAAGAATGTTCCAAACGCCGCAACACTGCCCATGACTAAGCTAGAAAGTCCCCCAGCGGAGATCCAGGCCTCTCATCTCTAGATAGAACCCCAAAGAGGCCAGAAGTCATTGCTCACAGACGGCTCCATTACCCGGACCTCATCTATACCTGGAGAAGTGCCATTGGCCAATATTCACGCCATCTCCTACCTGACCTTGTTTCTCTTGTTTTCCCCACGTTGGGCCTCAGAGGTGGGTTTCATTGGACAGTTTCTCTGCTATGACCTCTGTCTGATTAATTAGTTCTAAAAAAAAAAAACAAGTCAAAAGGTACGAACTAGGGCCTAAGGGTCAAAATTCCAGCTTGAGCTCCTGGATTCAAAATCTCAGTTGCATGTCTTGTTCAAGTTGATGCGGGGTCGGTGAGCCGAGGAGTCGAAAGAAAGATTTCTTAGACTCTCAAGATCTGGCAGTAGTGCTCTTTTATTTAGAGAGTAGAATAGCATGGGGACAGGACCCATGGGCAGGCAGAGCCGCTGCTGCTGCTGCCCCCGCTGGCATGGGGACAGGACCCATGGGCAGGCAGAGCTGGTGCGTGGGGACAGGACCCACCGGCAGTCAGAGCTCCTGCTGCTGCCACGAGTTGAGGGTTAGGGCTAAATTTAAGGCATAGGTATGTGAGTTATCTCTTTACAAGACAAAGAATACGTAGAAAAGTTAAAATGGTATCAGTGCCCGTATGGCCTGGCCATTTGGCGGTCCCACAACTTTTAGATAAGAATTAAACCAGATTGAGTAAATGGAAGAAGTCACCACTTGAATTTTATCCTTGGCTAAAGACAATGGAGGATTTGGGGGGAGGGGGGGGTCTGTTACATGAGGTTGCCAGACAGTAACCAACTTAAGTTCTTGCCTCTGGCATTGATTAAGAGCTTCTAGAGATAAGACCATCCCCCCTTCTTCCTGGCACAGAGAGGGAGGCATCTTCACAGATAGAGGTTTCCCTTAGAAATGTAAATGTTTCCCAACAAAGGGGCAAACAAATTCCACTCCTTGGAGCCTGAATCTCATCTGTAGTTTTAAAACTAACCAGCCTAAAAATCCTCATCATAAGCCATTTTAAAATTAAGCAGCCTAAAAATCCTCATCAAAGTCATTTCCGCGAATCTACCCTTTTAAAGTGCCCATCTGTAGGGTCGCGGAGGCTTCAGTGGGCTAGTGTGGCTAAGGCCCTGGCACCACAGCGGTGGGCGCAGGGTCAGCGATCCAGGCTTGGGTTCATGTCATTCCTGTAGAGTCAGGCTGCCGGCTACGTTTCTAGGCAGACAGCTGCTGTGATCTCCAGGCTGAGGAACAGCCACTCTGGATGTTGTTGCACCCCTGTGGGTTCCTGGTGTGGGGAATGGAATTGGCCACCCCAAGATATGTCTCTTTGGCATGATGATTATTTGAGGCTAGTTACTTTGCAGACAGGAAAGCAACTGAGAAGTAGAATTTACTTACCCTTTGTAAGAGACATTTACATTGTAAAGGAACTCTCCATCTGTAAAGATATCTCCGTCTGTACCAGGAAGAAGGGGAGATGACCTTGTCTCTAGAAACTCTTAATCAATGCCAAAGGCAAGGACTTAAATCTGCATTTTGTTTACTGTACTTGTGCGGTAATCGCCCATGATCGACTCCCCCTCCACCCGCAACATTCTCCTTTGTCTTTAGATATTTAAGTGGTGGTTTCGGCATTTTGGCGAGTTGCTCAGCTTGCCTGACCTCTCCCATGTAGACATGTTATAAAGCTTTGTTTAATTTTCCCCTGCTATTCTGTATCATGTGAATTTAATTCGTTCTCCGGCCAGACGAACCCACATTAGGTAGAGGAGAAGTCTTCCTCCCCGACACCGGCTTCTCAGCTCCTGAGGATTAGCAGCCATCTTGGCAAGAATTGGTACTGTGTGAGTGAGGAGGAGAGCCGGCTGTGAAGCCCAGGGTGGCTGCCCCACCCCATCAGTGCCCGGGACCCCTGGGGTGAAGCCAGCTAAGGATGGAGACTGGGAGCCTGTCAGGAGCAGGAGGATTTTTCAGAAACTGGCCTGGGAGATTTCCGGGGCAGGCCCTGAACACCAATATGAGGTCCATTACTCAGCCATTTACCCTCCTGAGGACTGTGCTTGAGATCATTTTCCATCCTGATGGCTACTGAGAGCAGTTCCCCAGGGAGTAACCATTTTTGAGAGGCAACGTGGGTTAGTGGAAAGAGCCCACAAAGCGGGACTCACACCCTGGTTCTCCCACTTACGGGCTGAGAGACCTTGAGCAATTCTCTTTCCCTCCCTGAGTCTCAGGGGCTCTGCTGTGAAATAGATGGAGCTCCCCACCAGCCAGATGAGCCCATCAAGATGAGATTGTGGGGGGGAAATGCCCATCAACTTGGGTATTGTTCAAGGAAGCAACATCCAAATGGGAGAGGGCAGAGGAAAGATTCCTGCATGATTCACAGACTGACAACAATTTCCTGCCTGCCTTTGGGATGAATAAAAAATAAGTGAAAAGTGATGGGCGAAGCAAAGTTTTCGGGTCTGTGGGGATCCTGCAGTGGACAAAAGAGCCCTGGGGCTGGCTGAGTCATCCATGTGGTTTTTTCCTGTCTGCAAAACAAGAATAGAGCTCCAGAGAAGGGGCACATGGATTCTGATTAGATATTTGCCCCTGAGCGGCCTCCAAGAGGAATGCTTCCCAACAGCATTGGTGGGTAACTTTCCATTGCCGCTATCTAGAAGAACCGAGAGGAGATATGGTGAATTTCTTGTCCAAAGAGAGCCTCTCTTTAAATCCTGAAATCTTTACGGATGAAAAGATTTACATCAAAATAACACAGAAGAAGTGGAAGTGGGTGGGAGGTAGAATAGACTAGTCGGTCTGAGGGGATGGGTGATTGGTTCATGGGAGATTTTTTTTTTTAATCAATAAATGTTTGTTGTTTTTAAATAATAAAAAGTTTAAAAAAATAATATCCAATACCCAAAAGGTATCAAAAGACTTTTTAAAGTTAATATTCCGTAACTGACCTATTCCACTTTTAGAAAATTAGCATAAAGAGATGCAATGCAGGTTAGTGGGAAGAGCGGTGTCGTTTATAATAGTAAAAAATTGGAAACAACCAAAATGTCTAGCAATAAGAGACTGCTTAAAAATTATGGTAGGCCCATTCAGTAGAATCTAGGCAGCCGTTAAAAAAATGATGTAAAAACAATTGTTGGTGCATCAATAACCAATCTATAGATAAGAAAGATATTTAATGAGCTAATGTTGAGGACAAGCCCGGAAGTGCCATCGCCACCAGGGCAGAAAGCACCCCAGAGAAGTGTGGTTGACAGCATGGTTATATACCATTTCAGAACGAAGAAGATATGTCAGGCATGACAGGAATGCAATTATTTTCCCCAAGTCACAAGGAGATGTTTTGCCGAAGTTTAGCACATACACAGCAGGTCAACTTGACCTTGGTTCTCTGAGAAGAAAACTCATCTTCAAAGAAGTGATGGTATTGGCGTCAGAGAAAAGGAGACACCCATCCCTCTCTTTAAAGAGGGCATTCTTTGCTTCGGGAAAATGTTTGAAGCGGATGCACAGTGCATGTTCGCTGGGCCAGAAGTCAGGCTGCTCTGGAAAAAATAAGTTTTAGGCCAAATCAGAGTTAAACCAGAATACTTCCTCCATATGCCTCAATATGTGAAAACATTATTATTTTTATCACAAATAATAAACTACGAAAAGATATTTGCATTTCAAATTATAAAGGGATAATTTCCATAACATAAAAGGCGCTTTCAGGTCAACAGGTCACAAGAAAGAAAAGACAAAGAATATCAAAAAGAAATGTGTGTGAATGCACTGATAAGCAAAGATCACAATTTGATAACACATTACACTGGGAATGAAAATTAGCAAAACCTCTGAGGAGAGAATTTAGCAATATCCACTGATATTGCTATATCTGTATCTATAGCAATATCTATTGCTAAATTGGCCCGGTAATGCCACCTCTAGCAATTTCTTCAATATGCATAAAACAAAGGATGAACAAGGTTATTCATTGCGGCATTGTTTGTGACAGCAAAAGACTGGAAACAACCTAAATGTCCATCAGTAGGAGATGGTTAAATAAATTGGGGTGGAACAAAGTCAGCAGAAGCATGAACAGGGACCGGAAGTGACCATGAGAACATGGGAACCCAGCCATTCCTAATCCTAACCTGGCCCTAAGAATTTACACACAATGGATTTGGGGTTCAAGCCTGTCTTTTCTAGATTCCAAGGGGCAGAGAGACCCTAAATAGCATTTAGGGGCATGTAAACGCTAAAGTAGATTTTTGTGTTCTAACATGGAAAGATGGCCCCCAATACATAACTAAGTGGGTGTGGGGCGGGGGGAGTCAAAGAACAGTATTAAGGTGTGATCTCATTTCCATCTAAAATTTAAATATCATGTATATATGTTAGTATATGCATAGAAAAAACTGGAAGGGGAGGAGTATACAGCAAGCCATGAAAGCAGTTATTAAGCACCTAGTATATGCTTGATGCTGAGAACATACAGATAAATAAGAATTTAGAATGTGAATTCCATGAAGGAAAAGAAATTTGCTGTTTTGTCCCAGGGCCTGGTACATAATATATACTCTGCAAATATACATGGGATGGAAAGAAGGGAAGAAAGGAGAGGGGAGGGAGTGAGGGATGGAGTCCCTGCCCCCTAGTAGCTCACAGATGCTCACAGCCTAGTGTGGACACAGATGTGTGAGCAGATGACTTACCTGAGAAGGGACAGCGCAGAGAATCTGGGAGAGAAGAGCCGTAAGTTGTAGCGGCTTTGCATAAACTCTCTCATCCTTATGTCCTCACCCACTTTTGAAGAGAAGTCAGTTCCCGAGTCACGGCCATGGAGCCCATTTTCAAACCCCAAACTGAATCAGCTGCAAGGAGCCCTCTTCTTGCAGGACCACGCTGGCCCCGCAAATGAGAACCAGATTATCCAGGCTGAGTTGGGAGCTGAATACCTCCAAACTGGATCTCAGAGAACCAGAAACTCTTGGAAAACGACACGTTTTGTCAATTTCCAGGGGAGATTGGCTTCAGACAACTCAACGGTGACACCCAATGTCGCTATGGGGAACTACACAGAACTCCCAAGTAGTGGTTCCAGAAGAGGGAGCGATGATGGATGCTTGCCTTTCACTGTTTCCCAGCTAGCCCCGTGAGGTTCTTAGAGAGGCCATACTAAACAGGGAGAGCAGGCCAGGACTATGTGAAAAGATCCTCTGACTCAAAAGCCAGCCCCAAACGAGAGAAACACATGCTTCTTGGGGTTGCTCTAGCTTTTCTCTGCCTGAATAAGCTGTTGATGATTTCGTTACTGGGTTCTTCTCTGATTCCTTTCTGACAGCATTTGCTTAATGACGGTTGCATTTGAATAGCAGAAGCTGCAAGAGGAGATGCCGATTCAAGCTAAAAACTTTGCCAAGAGTAACATTTGCAGAGGGCCCTGGAGTGGTCCAGAGCTGGGCAGGAACCTCTGCTCTGCCTCTTCCCAGCTATGGAGCCCTGGACGCCCCCCTTCACCTCCCTGAGCTTTGTTTTCTCACTTGCAAAATGCAGTTGGTGATACCTATTTTGCAAGATTGCCAGGTAGATTAAATGAGAACGCCTATGTGCATATAGTAAAATAGAAAGAGCTTACTAAGTATTGACGACGCTGCTATTATGGGTAATATTTTCTGAGCCCTGATTAAGCTTTACCAAGCCTTTGACACACACTGCCTTTTTTAATCCTCACAACAACCCTATGAAGCAGCTAATATTTCTGTCCCCCATTGTGTAGGTGGAAAAAACTGAGGTCCGGAGAGAATGTTCAAGTTATCTACTGTCAAGTGGCCAAGCTGGGATTCAAATCCAGGCCATTGACTTCAGAGCGCCCACCGTGAATCAATTCTATAGTGGTTCCAATGTGTAATTGTTAAGGAGACCATTCAAAATTAAATGTACCCAATTATAAAATGGGCAAAGGATCTGAATAGCCACTTCTCCAAGGAAGACATGCGAATGGCCAATAAGCACGTGAAAAGATGCTCACCATCATTAGCCATCAGAGAACTGCAAATCAAAACCACTCCAGTTCCACCAGGATGGCCATCAAAACAGCCTAACTAGTAACAACAGCAACAGCAATGGAAAATGACAAGCCTTGGGGAGGATCTGGAGAAATGGGAACCCTCGTACATTGCTGGTGGGAATGTCAAATGGTGCAGCTGCTTCGGAAGACAAACTGGCCGTTCCTCAAAAGAGTTACTATATGACCCAGCAATTCCACTCCTAGGCATGTACCCAAAAGAAGTGAAACATGTCCACACAAAAACCTGTACACGAATGTTCATAGCAGCAGTACTGTCTATACTCACATTACTCTCTGTTCATAGCCAAAAGTATCAGTAACCCAAATGTCCATCCTTTGATGAACGGGTAAAGAAGATGTGGTCTATCCGTACAATGGAATATTAGTCAGCTGTAAAAAGGAATGAACTATGATGCATACTATAGCATGGATGGGCCATGAAAACATCATGCTCAGTGAAAGAAGCCAGTGACAAAGGACTGCATATCATTAGATTCTATTTATATGAAACGTCCAGAACAAGCAAATCCATAGAGATAGAAAGTAAGATTAGTGGCTACCAGTGGCTGGGGAGTAGATATTGGGAGGAAATGGGGAGTGAGTATAGGGTGTCTTTTGGCGATGATGAAAATGTTCTAAAATTGAGTGCAGTGATGGTTGCTCAATTCTGAATATACAAAAGAATTCTTCACTTGTTCACTTTAAATGTGGGAATTTATGGTATGTGAATTATATCTAAATAAAGTTTTTTTGTAAAAAAAATTCAATGTAGAAGTAAATTTTGAGACTTTTCTATTTGTCACATAGCTCACACACATCAGGTAATCCTTACTGAGACACACATCACAATTTTTACTCTAGAAAAGCAGAGTTGCACGGACCAGGTCCCAGAACAGATACCAGTTGAAAAACCCAGGATTCACCAGTGAATGACCCAATTCATTCCAGCCACGTGCCAGACCCAGAGTCAGTTACCTGAGGGCTGGGGGGCTGGGCCAAGCCTATTTGGACATGTAGTGCTGGTCTCCCTTCCGGCTACTTCAGTTAAATCGCTCACAGCCTGTCTTTATCGGTCTTGACAGTGGTGTTCTACTGTCTCAATGACAGATCTGCCAGGTTCATGCTTTTGCAGAACTCACGTGGGGTGTCACATGGCATATGATGTAGTAGCTGATTTCTTGTTCTTTGGACCATCCCGCCCCGTTTCTAACTGATATGATACAATTTCTTCTGGGCTCTGGGAAGTTGGAGGAGGGGAACATGCCTTTACCCTGACCCTCACCCCTCTTTATCATCAATTAACCTTCCAGATGCTTAGCCCCACTTAACACTGAGAACCTCCTCCCCAGAGTCCAAATGAAACTTACCAAGCATCAATGTCTAGTCCGTTCAGCCTGCTATAACCAAATACCACAAACTGGGTAGTTTGTAAATAACAGAAATTTGTTGCTCACGGTTCTGGAGGCTGGAAGTCTGAGGTCAGGGTGCCAGCGTGTTCAGATGAGGGTCGCAGACTTCTTGTTGTGTCCTCACACGGCAGAAGGAGAAGGGGTCTCTCTGGGATCTCTTTTATAAGGGCACTAATCCCATTCACAAGGGTTTACCCTCACAACGTAAGCACCTCCCAAACGCCCCACCACCTCCTACCATCACCTTTAGGGGTTAAGATTTCAACATGTGAATTTGGGGGGAACACAAACATTCAGACCAGAGCACTCAATAAAACTAGAAAGCAAAGGCTTCTGCTGATCTAGTGAAGAGGTTCCATCTTGCCTTTCCCAGAGCCTCCCACTTCCTACGAGGAGAAGGCAGGGACACTGTGTCACACACCTCCAGGGGACAGCATTCACATCCTAGCGCCTGGGAAGGTGGCCCCCCTGGATTTGGGTGGGCGTGGCCTACAAGGCTGTAGGCTGCGGCTCTGGGGACAGGAGAGGCCTGGGGGGAAGGCTCCCTGCTTCATCTTCATCTTCTCAACACATCACCTCCACCTCCCACCACAGCAGGGACCACACTGCCTGGGTCTTTGTGGACTGTGGAAATGTTTTGTCTCCCCAACAGGATTATAAGCAATTTGAAGGCAGGAAAGATAGCTTATTTTTCCTGGAAGCTTTAAACCAAAACTTGGGACACATGGGGTGGTAGGCTGAGTAAGAGCCCTCCAAAGATATCTACATCCTCATCCCCGGACCCTGTGACTCTATTACCTTCCATGGCAAAAGGGACTTTGCAGGTGAGTTTGCAGATGGAGCGAAGGATCTTGAGATGGGGAGAAGATCATGGGTTATCTGGATGGGCCCAATGCAGTCACAAGGGTCCTTAGAGGGAGAATCAGAGGAGAGGCGAAACCAGAACAGAGGTTGGAGTGATGTGGGGCCCTGAACCAAGGACTGCCGGCAGCCTTTAGAAGCTAGAAAAGGCCAGGAAACAGATTCTCCTCTGGAGCCTCCGGAAGGAACAAGCCCTGCTGATCCGCTTTGGACTTTTGATCTCCAGAGCTGTAAGGAAAAGAAATTTAGTTATTTCCAGCCACAAAGTTTGTGGGAATTTGTTACAGCAGCAATAGGAAATACACATGATACCATCTTCCTCTTCCTCCTCATCCTCATCATGGTGAACGTTGAATGAAATCACGGATGTAATCCTTATTAAAATGAATAAATGGAAGGCGCTGTTATTATCCCCTTTTTACAGATAAGGAAACTGAGGCCCAGAGAGTTTACATAATGGAAAGGTGGTTTGGTTGCAAACAGCAGAAACTGACTCTGGCTAAGGCAAGCCAGAAAAGGAGAATGGCTCCGAGCAGGATAAATCGTGGAAGTACCATCCGGGCAACACGGTGGGGGAGAATGTGAGTCTTCCTCGAGATGCTCTGACCTCCCAGTCCACCCGTCTTTTGAACTTCTAGCCTTTCACTCATGAAATATTTGTCGAGAGCCTACTATGTGCCGGCCCTGGGCTAAGTGCTGGGGATATAATGTTGAACCAAAAACCAGGCATGGTTCCTGCTCACGGGATGCTGTGATGCTTACGGCCAAGTGAGAAAACATATTAATCAGCTCATCACCCTGAAAGGTGATCCGCTGCAACTGTATGAAACGCTGTGAGGGCAAAATGCAGGGACTGCAAAGGTTAAGGCAGCAGCAGGTGATCTGACGTGTGAGAAATGAGTTAGGGGTTACTAAGCGCTGAGGGTTCAAAGGGGAGGGCCACCTGCCCTCTCACTGGTGTCTTAGAGGACCGTAGAACTTTTTAAAAGTTTTGATCCCCTTTCTCCATATTTATTTATTATTTTTTTAAATTTATTTAAATGTCTCTATGTATGCTTTTTTTTTCTTTTTTTTGGTGAGGAAGATTGGCTCTGAGCTAACATCTGTTGCCAATCTTCCTCTTTTTTTTTCTCCCCAAAGCCCCAGTACATAGTTGTATATCCTCGTTGTGGGTCCTAGCTCTTCTATGTGGGATGCTGACTCAGCATGGCTTGACGAGCAGTGTGTAGGTCTGTGCCAGGATCTGAGCTAGCAAACTCTGGGCCGCCAACGCGGAGCCTGTGAACTTAACTGCTACACCACCAGATTGGCCCTCCCTTTCTCCGTATTTAGTACCACTACTGGAGAAGAGAGGTGCAGCAATACCACACAGAACTTTCAATTGATGATAACATTTTTTTTATTATTTCTTTTGTTGTGGTAAAAAATATAATGTAAAATGTACCATTTTAACCATTTTTCTTTTCTTTTCTTTTCTGTTTTTTTGGTGAGGGAGATTGGCCTGAGCTAACACCTGTTGCCAATCTTCTTTTTTTTTTTTGCTTGAGGAAGATTGTCCCTGAGCTAACATTTGTGCCAATCGTCCTTCACTTTATATGTGGGATGCTGCCACAGCATGGCCTGATGAGAAGTACATAGGTCTGCACCCAGGATCCGAACCTGTGAACCCTGGGCTGCCAAAGCAGAGCACACGAACTCAACAACCACACCACCAGGCTGGCCCCTAACCATTTTTAAATGTACAGTTCAGTGGCATTATGTTCACAATGTTTTGCAGTCATCATCATGATCTATTTCCAAAGTTTTCCGTCACCCCCAACAGAAACTCTATACTCCTGAAACACTAACTCCCATCCCCCTCTCCCCCAGCTCTTGGCACTCATCACTCTACTTTCTGTCTCTATGAATTTGCTTCTTCTAGGTACCTTATATAAGGCAAGTCATACAAAACGTGTCCTTTTGTGTCTGGCTCCTTTCACTTAGCATCATGTTTTCAAGGTTCACCCATCTTGTGGCATGTGTCAGAACTTTATTCCTTTTTATGGCTGAATAATATTCCATTGTACGGATACACCACTCTAAGCCCACATCCACTCAGACACGATGCTAGGCCAGCCTGGAAGTGAGTTTCTTCTTTGACTATGTCCCTATGTTTGTTTCTCCTATAGTTTCCCCATCTGTAAAATGGAAACATTTCTCTTCCTTTTTTTTTTTTTGTTTTGCTGAGGAAGATTCACCCTGAACTAACATCCATGCTAATTTGCCTCTATTTTTTAGTATGTGGGCCTCCAGCACAACACAGCCACTAACAGAGCAGTGTAGGTCCATGCCCAGGAACCAAACCCACGCCACCAAAGCAGAGAGCGCTGAACTTAACCACTAGCCCACCAAGGCTGGCCCAGGAACATTTCTTAAAGGCAAGGCATTGCAGAGAAGCAAATTCTCCAGCTAAAGCTAGCCCACGGTATCTTGGGGCCACAGTGTAGGTGGAACAGAAAAGGATGAGATACCCAGAGCTCCAGGGGTGTGCCCTGCACCATCTGTACTTTCCCCAGCAGCCATATGCCGCCTAGGATAAACACTCAGAGACCCACAGTCCTGCAGCACAGGGCTAAAACAGGGATGCCAATCCCCCCACATCCCCAAGGTAAACAGACAGTAGAAATGAGGAGGGCAGGCTGAGCATTAAAAGAACAGTGCAGGCCTGTGGATAAACAGGAGACAGTGGGGAGCAGTGAGGACTGCGGAGTACTGGAGAGAACATGCTCCTATCAGTTCCCAGTGCCGCCATACAGGAAAGTGGGCCCAATGCCGCCAGAGCTTTCTGTTTGTTCAAAGAGGCTGGAAATCTGGATTTTTGTGTGAATTTGCCAGATTTTAAATGCTGGCAATTAATTTTAGGATATTAAACACAGTGCTGCCAAACAAAACATGTCTGCTGGCTGCATGCAATCCAAGGATGGCCAGATCTGAGAGCCCACTGCTGTGAAAAGAGGCAGACCAGTGCCTCTCTCTCATCAGGACCAAAAGCGCACGGTAGAGGGTGGAATTCAACAGGTGGAGTCCAACCCCACCTCTGCCCATTCTGCGCATCGCTTCCCCACCACGGAGCTCAGGACCCTCATCTATAAAATGAGGGGTGGACCAGATGTCCCCCAAGATCTCGTTCATCCCTGATATTCCAATATTTGACCTCTTTTAGGATGCTGCCCCAAAGAGAACCCAGGAGACAGTCTACTTTTTCAATTGTGGTAAAATACATGTAACATATAATTTACCACTAGGGGTGTTTACTACATTCATAACATTGCGCGATCATCACCAATATCTAGTTCCCGAACATTTTCATCACCCCAAACGATCTGTCTTTCATGTCCCTGAGTTTTGGGGGAAAAGCAGTTCATATCTGATCCTGAAATGTGTTGCCTTAAGAAAAAAATGAAAACCTCTTGGAAGGAGGGTTGCAGGAGAGAGGAGGAAAGGAGGGAGAGAGGAGCATATGAGATGGCAGCTGCAGGTCTCAAGGGCATGCCCACGTGGCCGATTGATGCCAACAGCAAGACTGGCTCGGCTCTCCTGCGGCCTCAAAGGGGCCCTCACTGTCAGCTGAGTACAGACAGAGGCCCTCGCTGCCTCGGGCCCAGCTGTTATTTTCCACTTCGGTGAAAAGCATTTCATCCTAATATCCCACAGTGAGAGCTCCCAGCAGGAAAGTGCTCCCTGAGGTTCAACGCTCCTCCCTCCCACATACACAAAAGTAGGATTAGATCGAAAGAGAAGTGTGTCCATGAGTTCCAGGGGACCTGATCTGGGGGACCCCCGCCTGTACCCCTTGAGCAGCTTACGGTTTTAAGGCCCTGCGGCATCCACGTCCTGCCCTCGTTAGCAAGCAGGGAAGTGAGAGCAGCCAGCCCTCCAACCTCCCTTCCTCTCCCCGGGGCATTTGTGTAGCCAGTTTCAGGGCAAACGAAGAAAATAGAGACACCCAAGCGAGTTTGTCCTTAAGGCAAACTGTGCCCAGTTGAAAGGCCAGCCCTTTTCTGAAAAGATATTATTGGTGTTTGCCTTTCCTTTCTTTTAGGAAATGATGCTGAAAGTAGATGGGAGTTTTTTGTTTTGTCTTGTTTCGATTTGGCAAAATGAAAAGTTGACTTTGTCCTTCAGAATTTTGGAAAATTTGCAGATCTGTGAAATTCTAAATTCTGTTGACACACTGGCCTGCCGTGACTAAGGGTAGCCGCGCCCCCCCCCCCCCCCCCGAGCAGGGAGGGTGCTACGGCAAGGATGAGGACGTCTCTGCTTCTTTCAACCGTTCTGGTTAGGGAACACGTCAAGATTTCAAAAAGTCAAGAGAATAGTGTAATAAACTCTCATACACCATCACTTGGCTTCAAAAATTATTAACTAAAGGCCAACTTTGCTTAATCTTTACTCCCACCAGCATCCCCCTGGATTATTTTGAAGCAAAACCTAGACATCACATTATTTCTACCATAAATATTTCAGTATGTGTCTCTAAAAAGTAAGGACTCTTTTTTTTTTTTTAATTTTATTTTATTTTTTCCTTTTTCTCCCCAAAGCCCCCCAGTGCACAGTTGTACATTCTTTGCTGTGGGTCCCTCTAGTTGTGGCATGTGGGACGCTGCCCCAGCGTGGTTTGATGAGCAGTGCCATGTCCGTGCCCAGGACCCGAACCAACGAAACACTGGGCCGCCCGCAGCGGAGCGCGCGAAGACAACCACTCGGCCACGGGGCCAGCCCCAAAGTAAGGACTCTTTTTAAGAAGATATTACTGAGGCATTATATTATACCAATAATTTCTTAATATCATCAAAGCTCCTGTTAGGGTTCAAATTTCCCTGTCTCTCTTTTTTTTTTCAGTTTGTTCCAATCAGGATCCAAATAAGATCCATGCATTGCAATTGGCTGGTATTTTTCTTAAAAGTCTTTTAATCTTTGAATTCTCTCTCCATCTCTGTTTTTTCCCTCTTCCAATTGGCTCGTTGAAGAACTAGGTCATTTGTCCTGTAGAATGTCCCACGTGGAGTCATGTCACATCCTCATGGTCCTCTGTATTTCCTATGAATTGGTAGTTAGATCTACAGGCTTGTTTTTATTTAGGTTCAACTGTTTTGCCAAAAAATATTTCAAAAGTGGTGTCGAGTGTGCTTTCACGAGAGGCACACAAGACTGACTGTCTTTCTGTGGCGTTAGCAGCCATTGGGGCCAAGATCCACCAGTTCATCAGGAGTGTGTCTATATCTCTATTTATTGAGGTCATTGGGTGACCAGCCCCTCCCTGTTTGCCTGGGACTTCCCCAGTGTTAGCACCTCGTGTCCTACGTCCCAGGTAACCACTCCATCCCAAGCAAACCAGGTCCATCGGTCGCCCTAGTCGAGGTTCTGTGTTTTCAAGGCGTGATTCTTCCTGTGACCCCTCTCTCCCTGTGCCCTACTGGGCAGAGAACTCAGACAAAACGTGGGGAACAGATCAGAGAACGTGGGGCTAGAGCTGCAGCATTGAGCACCCAGTCTTGGGGGTAGCTGACACCTTAGATGTTGCCTACCCAGCTTCCGTTTCCGCCTTCCTTGCAATACCCTGATTTTTGTCCAGTTAGTGATCCCTTCCCACAGCCTATGCACATCAGAGGAGCTGGCCACAGCCCCAGCTCCAGAGATGGGCTTTCCCTTTCCAGAACCGAGGCCCAGGCCAGCCAGCACATGCCATTCCCCAAGCCACAGCTCGGGCCAATGAGTCACAAGGGGTGCTTTGTGAGGGGCATCTGGGAAACTTCTTCATTCCTGTTTTTTTTCTCTTAACATACCATGAAGCGTTTCAAGCATACGATTCAACTATTTCTAGTAAATTGACTTGTTTGTGCAACCATCACTATAATATAGTTTTAGAACATTTTCATCACTCCACT